GAAAATGTTTTTTCAACAATCTTATATAGAGTAGTTTGAACAGTGTCTACCTTCTTATCATTATATAACTTATGATAGGAAGTGAACTTGTTTTTTATGCCTTACCAAATTATCAAACTCTTTTCTAGATTGGATTAGCTACCAGCATTTTACCCTTTGTGTTTTCAGTGTTGTGATATATATCCAAGATAATGTAAAGATTTTCTCCAGGTTCATTTTCTGTGTAATATATTTATTCTTTTCATCATAACCCAAGAATTTATGTCGGTAAGTTTTGCCTTCACTAAGTTCTGGCTACATACCTAAAATCTCATCAATAGTGGCAGTGCTACCATTTCTGTGATCAGTTATTTTCTAAACACATCCAGTGTTGTTAGTGTTGTTTCTTTGCTGCATTTTCAGCTTTGTAGGCCACTTTCCCTTTTTAATTATTCACATTTGTAAAATACCGTTTGTGGGAGACAAGGAGGAAACACACCTATACATTTTGCATTCTGTATATATATTGGATAACAGATGTGCAGTTAAAAATCAATAGACTTTGAAATAAGTGAAATGATTAGGTACAGATCATGAAGCGTATCTGTTATTTACACAGGGATTTTGGATGGAAGTGCTAGCAGTGAAGTTTGTACTTTATGCCATTAGTCATAAATAGTATACTGTGGTAATTAAAATGTTAACTGTAATGTTGCCAGACTGGTGTTATGTAACTAAACTGTGCTAACTGAAATTCATGCATATTGGAATCATTCAAGGTGAGGACTACCTGCATACAACTTGCCTTCTTAAGTATTCCTTTTTTAACTTTGTTTCAGAACATGTGATAGATTGTTTTCATTTTCAGTCACTTCAAGTTATTTTCTATTTCTTACTAGACTGTTTAACATACAGGTTATTTATATGTATATTGTTTTCCAAATGTTTGCTGGAATTTTCAAGATCCCTTTCATTATTTATTTCTAATTTAATTATGGTTGGAGAATATACTCTGTATAATTTCTATCCTCATAAAATTGCAGCTTGTTTTGAAGCCCAATATATAGTCTATTCTGATGTCTGATTCATGTATTCTTGAAATGAATGTGTGTTCTGTTATTGGATGGGATATCTACAGATGTTAGGTCAGGTTCATTGATGCTTAATGATTTTTTTGTATACTTGTTTTAGAAATCTTTGTGAGAGGGATGTTGAAATCTCTGGACATAATTACTAATTTGTTTTTCCTTTTATTTTTGTTGTGGTTTGTGTGTTGTGGGCATTTGTGGTAGGTAGAGATACATTTATAATTTTTCTATCTTTTTGCAGATCTCACAATTTTGAAATATACTTCTTTGTTCCTAATAATATTTATTGTCTTGAAGTCTATATTATCTAATATTAATATAGTTACTTTACCTCTCTTGTGCTTATAGTTTGCATGATGTTTTCCCTCCCATTCTTTTACTTTTAGCCTGTCTTTGAATTTAAAATTAATTTCTTGGGCAACCCTGTTGGGACCCCTCTCACTCCTGAGAGCTTTCTTTGTATCCTAATAAACCTCTGTCCTTTAACTCAAAAAAAAATAAAATAAAATAAAATAAAATTCTTATAATGTACAGTTGATTCTTACCATTTAATCCAGTCTGATGGTTTCTGATTAGAATATTATTCCATTCCCAGTTAATGTAATTGTTGATTTGTTTTGATTTATATTTGCCATTTTGCTATTTGTTTTCTATTTCTTTAATCTCTCTTTAGGTTCTTTTTCTTTTCCTGTCTTTTATGTTTAAAGAACATTTTTTGGCATACCATCTTAATTGCCCGGTTGAATTTTTCTTCATAGTTCTATGTGTGTGATATAGCAGTGGGGATTACAATGTGATATTTAACTTCTTATAACCTACTGCATGTTAATACCTCTTTATTTTTCTGGCAAAACATAGAAACTTTGCAGTAGCACAGTTCCGTTTTCTACTCTCCCTGACCATCCTGTGCTGCTTTGGTATTGTTTTTTGTTTTTTGTTTTTTTAAGATTTTGTTTATTCATGAGAGTCACACAGAGAGAGGCAGAGACATAGGCAGAGGGAGTAGCAAGCTCACTGCAGGGAGCCTGATTCAAGACTTGATCCCAGTACCCTGGGATCATGACCTGAGCCAAAGGCAGACATTCAGCTACTGAGCCACCCAGGTGTCCCTGCTTTGTTCTTTTAATCATGTATGTTACACTTAAGTTTGTCATAGGTTTGACAATGTTGTTATTTTTTCTTTAAAAAGTTTTTTAAACAAAAGAAAAGGAAAAAACAGACATCTAAATTCCTTATATTTACCTACACACTTAAAAAAACCCTAGTGTCCTGTGGATTTAACTTATCATCTGGTATTATGTTGTCAGAGAGATTTTCTTTAGTATATTTTGTAAATCAGTTCTGCTAGCAGATATTTTTGTTTATCTGCAAATGCCTTTATTTTGCCATGTTTAAAGGAAAGTTTCACTTGATATAGAATTCTTGGTTGACAAGTTGCTTTCTTTTAGTATTTTGAATGTGTCACTCCAGTGTTTCAGTTTTTTTTAGTGTGTTGAAACTCAACTTGCACTACTATTACTCTCCTAAGCATGATGTGTCATTTTTTTCTTACTACTTTCAAGATTTTTCTTTCTCTTCATTTTTTGACAATTTGATTTTGTTTTGTTTTGTTTTTAAAGATTTTATTTATTCATGAAAGACACAGAGATAGAGAGAGAGGCAGAGACATAGGCAGAGGGAGAAGCAGGCTCCATGCAGGGAGCCTGACTGGGACATGAACCTGGGTCTCCAGGATCAGGCCCTGGGCTGAAGGCAGGCACTAAACCATTGAGCCACCCGGGCTGCCCCAGCAATTTGATTTTGATGTGACTAGTTACCTAGGTATCCTGCCTGTAGTTTATGGAGCTTCTTAGATATGTAAATTAATGTTTGTCACCAACTGGGTGATTTTAAAGGCATGTTTCTAATTTTTAAAAAAAATTTTTTTTAAATTTTTTATTTATTTATGATAGTCACAAACAGAGAGAGAGAGAAAGATGCAGAGACATAGGCAGAGGGAGAAGCAGGCTCCATGCACCGGGAGCCCGACGTGGGATTCGATCCCGGGTCTCCAGGATCGTGCCCTGGGCCAAAGGCAGGCGCTAAACCACTGCGCCACCCAGGGATCCCTAATTTTTTAAAATTTTATTTATTTATGAGAGAGAGAGAGGGGCAGAGACACAGGCAGAGGGAGAAGGAGGCTCCATGCAGGGAACCCGATGTGGGACTTGATCCTGGATCTCCAGGATCAGGCCCTGGGCTGAAGGGTGTGCTAAACCACTGAGCCACCCAGCGGCCCTCTAATTTTTTTCTTGACTTTTTTTCTTTCCCTTTGAAACACTCCAACTATACACATACTGGATAGAATGCCTAATATTACACCACATATATCTGAAGGTTTGTTTATTTTTTTTATAATCTCTTTTTGTTCTTTGGCTTACTTAATTTTTAGTGATTTATTTAAATTTACTTATTCTGATTTTGCTTTCTGCTTTCTCAAATCTAGTAAGCCCATCTGGTGAAATTTTAATTTCAGTCTTAGAATTTTCATTTGGTTCTTTTATGTTTTGACTTACACAAAGTAAAGATTAGGCATAGAGTAAGTAAATTAACTACCACTACAATCATGGTACAAAAGAGTCAAATTAGTTCCTTTGTATACTTTTTTCTCTTTTAAAATTACATATTCATTCACTTATTCTCTAACAGTGTTTTCCTTGAAGTTCTTTAATATGTTTATAATACCTTCTTTGGGATCTTTATTTACAAAATACAGCATTTGTACCTATGTAGAATCACCTTCTATTGACTGGTTTTATTCCTTAGTTTAGGCCACAGTTTTCTGTTTCTTTATATGTCTGGTAATTTTTGGTTGAAAACTCTACATTGTAGATGATGATCTACTGTAGTCTGGATTTTTCTGGTCCTTCTGAGGGTTTTTGTTTTGTCTTAGAGGCATCTAACTTGCTTGGGCTTAAACTGTGACATCTGTCTCTCCCACAGAGTGTCATTGCTGATGCCTCTGTTTAGTTTTTATTTGTGTGTTGAAGTCTGGCTCTCTAAGAGACTCCTCTTCACCTGGATAAAGTAGAGGTGAGCTAATGATTTGGACAGAGGTGGTATTAGACATCAAAAGGCAGTTGTGGCTTTCACTCTTTGCTGCCTGAGTTGCACATATGTCAGAACACTTTAAAGGTATAAAAAATTTGCAAGACTTTCTAAACTTCCAATCACTGCTGGACTCTATAGGATATCTTTGCACAAATATTTTAGTGGTCAGGTGGGGTATAGGAAGAGTTTATTATCTCAACCTTTCAATGACTTTTTTGTTTTCAAATTCCTGTTAAGTTTCTAGCTGCTCTACTAAATAGCATTAAGCTGTAACCTGTGGATTAGGTTACAGGATGGGAGATGAGAAAACCCTAGGAAAGAATGCCACAAGCGCCCCATTCTTACCTAATCAAGTAGAAATGTTTGGTGAGTAAGCACTTTTCAGCTTATTACCTCTCGTTGGTAGTTTTTCAGTGCCCTAAATTAGTTGTGTGGTTTTTTTAAAAAAAGATTTTATTTATTTATTCATGAGATAGGCAGACGGAGAAGCAGGCTCCCCAAAAGGAGCCCGATGTGGGACTTGATCCTGGACCCCAGGATCACACCTTAAGCCAAAGGCAGATGCTCAACCGCTGGGACACCCAGGTGTCCCTGTTTTGTTTTTTAATCTTTTTTTGTTTTGTTTTTTGGGGAGGAAAATTCCTCAACTACTTCATGCCACCACTATCAGAAGTAATGTCCATCTTTAATTACTCATGTGATGGGTTTACATGTTTCAAATGGCCTTTTGGCCTCCCAATTCTGTCTGTTGGACCATCATGTATCATCCATTTGGTTTACCTCTTTTGCCCTCTACTAGGTCTTTTTATCTGTTTGGTCTTATTTATTTTTTTATTCTTTCAGAGAGTGAGAATAGACTCGAAAATCCTCAATTGGATATGCTTGGAGGTGTTTCCTTCCATAAGGAGATATTGGAAAGTGTAACAAGAGATCGTTCATTGTACTCCATTTTTAAAGTCTGGCAGGATGATGACCAGGTGGAGAGAGATCAGGAAAATCAAAACAGACTTCTCAGGCAAGTCATGGCCATCAAAAATAAAACAGTTGTTGAAGAGTCTGGCTATTCATTTAAGGCATTAGGAAAACGATTTCATGACTACACAGACCTAGATGCTTCAAAACAAAGACTGTGTAAATGTAACTCATTTGAAAAGAGCTTGGAACCTAATATAAAGTTATTCCATTGTACTAGGGGTTATGCAAGAAAAAACACTGATGAGAATTTTGGATGTGGGAGCACACTTATTTCTTCCTATTCTAAACATGAAAAAAATCAGAATGGGGTGAAACACTGTGAAGGTAGTCAATGTGGAAAGATTATCAGCAATAAACAATCTCTTATTCAATATGTGAATGATGAAACTGGAGAGAAGACCTGTGAATGCATTGAATGTGGAAAATCTTTTCTAAAAAAGTCACAACTCCTAATACATCAACGAACTCATACTGGAGAGAAACCATATGATTGTGGTGCATGTGGGAAAGCCTTCAGTGAGAAGTCACATCTCATTGTACATCAGAGAACTCATACTGGGGAGAAACCTTATGAATGTTCTGAATGTGGAAAAGCTTTCTCTCAGAAATCATCCCTCATTATACATCAGAGAGTTCATTCTGGAGAAAAACCATATGAATGTAGTGACTGTGGGAAAGCTTTCTCCCAGAAATCACCCCTCATTATACATCAGAGAATTCACACTGGAGAGAAACCTTATGAATGTAATCAATGTGGGAAGGCCTTCTCCCAGAAGTCACAGCTGGTTATACATCATAGAGCTCATACTGGAGAGAAACCATATGAATGTACTGAATGTGGGAAAGCCTTCTGTGAGAAGTCCCACCTCATTATACATAAAAGAATTCACACTGGGGAGAAACCTTACAAATGTGCTCAGTGTGAGGAAGCCTTCAGCAGAAAGTCAGAACTCATTATACATCAGATAATTCATACTGGGGAGAAACCTTATGAATGTACTGAATGTGGGAAGACCTTCTCCCGGAAGTCACAGCTCATCATACATCAGAGAACGCATACTGGAGAGAAACCTTATAAATGCAGTGAATGTGGAAAAGCCTTCTGTCAGCAGTCACACCTCATTGGACATCAGAGAATTCACACAGGAGAAAAACCTTATGTATGTAGTGAATGTGGAAAAGCCTTCTCTCAGAAGTCCCACCTCCCAGGGCATCAGCGCATTCATACAGGAGAGAAACCATATGTATGTGCTGAATGTGGAAAGGCCTTTTCCCAGAAGTCAGACCTTGTTGTACATCGGAGAATTCATACTGGGGAAAGACCCTATCGGTGTGCTGTATGTGGGAAAGCATTCATTCAGAAGTCACAACTCACTGTACATCAGAGAATTCATACAGTGGTAAAATCATAAGAATGGGCTAAGCCCAGAAAAGTCTAAGGTATCTGCACAAGCCTTAATAAATAATACAAAGCTCATGGATTTCATTAGTTTGATGGCATCTTTACTGATAAAATTTCACAAGCAAAATAAAGTTCCTAATGTGTTTAATTTTTTTATCAGAGATAATACAGACATCTCAGTTATATAAAGAATGGGCATTTTCATTATGGGATGGATGTAAGACTTTTGAGATTTGAACTGAATGATAAATATAAAAAGTTACAAATATAGCTTATTTTGAAATTAGATATTTATGATTATGTTACATAACAGGAATTGGACATGCGGTAATATTATTAACATTAACTTAGCATAATTATGACTGTGTAGTAATTCCCCATAGAGGACATGAAGAAAGCTTGAGTCAAAAGATGCTACAACCTAGTAACTGTGCTTGGGGGAAGGATTTGTTTCTCCTAAAGGTACCTGTGAAATTATTCTTTTAGATAGATGGAAAGCTGGATTGATAAGGTTCAATAAATGTCTTTTTGTTTGCTTGTGTGTTTCATTTCAAGAGTATAAGTTGGTCTGTGTCAGTGGATGGACCCAGGATCTTGGAATTGACATTTCTTGCTATTTCTCTCTTTTACTGTTCCCCTCTAGGAGCTTGGTATGATGGAAGGACATAGCTGGTCAGGGATTTTAATGCTTATTCCATTACTCACAGGTTGTGTGACTTCAGGGAAACCCTTTTCCATCCACAATATCTGTCCCCTCATCTGTATATAAAATTCTGGCAGAAAATATGTGTTTAGCTCATATTTATCCCTTTTTTTCCCTCCCTGTTCTTTTGCAGGAGGTTGCTAATACCCAGTTGTATTCCTTTAAGCTTGATTTGCATTCTAGATGCTGTGTTTCTGATTCCCAGTTTCCTTTCCTGTCTTTTCTTGTCAGTTACACTGCCCTTGTTTCTGGTGGCCTAACTCATACTGTTATGGAGACCTCAATTTTTATTACATTTTGAAAACACAAGTTATGATTTATACACCTAAAGACCCTGTGTGATACCACCACAGATCATGTGTTACCTTTTCCCAAAAGCACCAGTTATTATAATTGAGTAGCCTTCAGAGAATAACCCATAGGGGATGCCAAAGACATGACTGGGATAACTTACACAGACAGGTATGAATCAGGACATAAAAGTCCTACCTGCTGTCTCTAAAATGTTTCTGTATTCTTCATTGTGGGCCCAACTCTTCTCCCATAAGAATCTTTAGGAAAACATCTCAATGGGGAAAAATCATATGTAGGAGGGATGTAGTGACCTGTGTGGCTAAATATGATTTCTGTAGTAAAGTTCCTGCTTGATTCCTTCTTATGTCTTGGTTAGCTGACCCTTCCTCTGCAGGGCCTTGTTTACTCTGAGATATAAGACTCTGTGTGGTAATCTCTGGAGAGGACATGGCATACCTCAAAAAGATGTGCAAATGTGTATGAGAAAATTCTTTGTGTTGTTGTGAACAATGATTGATACTGGATATAATTGGCCATTTGGACCTGGGAAATAAAACCTTCTGGCATGTACCATTGAGTGATCTGCTTTGAGAGGTCTTGATGAAAGTTGGCTCCACCTAACCCTTATGGAAGCATAGGAAAATCAGGGTCTCAGGAACATACAGAAATGTTGTGAAAAGGAAATGATAATATACTAACAGGAAATTATGTAAAGAAAATAAAGACTTGAGAGTTCTTATATTCTTATGGGCCTCCCATTTTGCATTTTCCCCTTCTGATCATGACATAATATGTACTATAAAATATAGCAAAATTTAATACTGGTGTATAGAAAAATTTCCACCTAAAATCTAGAAAAAAGACAATGTCCATTCTCACCAGTTTTATTCAACATTGGGTTGAAAGATCTAGTCAGAGAAATCAGGTAAGAAAAAAATTAGTATGATCGGAAAGCAATAAAACATTATTTGTTGATCAAATGATCTGCATAGAAGATGAAAATGTATAGGTTAATTATTAGAAATAAATAGCAATGTTTCTGTACATAAAGTTTTTAAAAATAAAGTTTATGCAATGGATGTAAAGTGAAAATGTAAAGATATCAGTTACAATGGCATGAAAAATACATCATGTCTAGAAATACACGTCTCATATTTCCAGTACTATGTTGAATAGAAGTGGCAAGGATGGGCATCCTTGTATTGTTCCTGATCTTAGAGAAAACTCTTCATCACTGATTATGACATTAGCTGTGAGCATGTCATATCTTGGCCTTCATTATGTGGAGGTACGTTTTTTCTGTGACTAATTTCTTGAGTTTTTATCGTGAAAAGATGTTGAATTTTTGTCAAATAATTTTTCTGCATATGTTGAGATGATTTTTTATCCTTTATTCTGTTAATGTGGTGAATCACTTCTATTAATTTTCATATGTTGTAACATCTTTGCATCCCAGGTATAAATCCCAGTTGATCATGGTGTATAACCCTGTAAATGTACTGTTGAATTCTGTGTGCCCATATTTTGTTGAGAATTTTGCATATATATTCATCAGAAATATTGGACTTTCTTTTTTTGTAGTGCCCTTATCTGGCTTTGGTGTCAAAGTAATGCTTGCCTTGGGGCACCTAGGTGGCTCAGTTAAGTGTCTGCCTTTGGGTCAGGTCATGATCCCAGGGTCCTGGGATCAAGTCCTGCATTTAGCTCCCTGCTCAGCAGGGATTCCTGCTTCTCCCTCTATCCCTCGCCCTCGCTTGTGATTTCCCTCATGGTCTCAAATAAAGAAAATCTTAAAAAAAAAAAAAAAGTAATGCTGGCCTGGTAAAATTTGGGAGTGTTGCCTTCTTCCTTTTTTTTTTTTTTTTTAAGAGTTTAAGTAAGATTATTGTTAATTCCATAAATATTTGGTAGAATTCTCCAGTTAAACTATCTGGTCCTGAGCTTTTCTTGAGATGTTTTTGATTACTGATTCAGTCTCTTACTTGTTATTGGTCTGTTAAGATTTTTTATGAATGATTCAGTCTCATGTTGTATGTTTCTAGGAATTTATTTCTCAGTTATTCAGTTTGTTGGCATAATTGTTCTAAGTGATATTATGATCTGTTGTATTTCTGTGGTATCAATTTTAATGTCTCCTATTTTGGGTTTTTTTTTTTTTAAGATTTTATTTATTGATGAGACAGAGAGAGAGAGAGAGAGGCATAGACCCAGGCAGAGGGCGAAGCAGGCTCCATGCAGGGAGCCCAACGTGGGACTCGATCCTGGGTCTCCAGGATCACGCCCTGGGCTGAAGGCAGCGCTGGGCCACCCACGCTGCACACCTATTTTGTTTCTAATTTTACTTGAGTCTTCTCTCCTTTTTTAGTCTGAATGATGGTGTGTTAATTTTGCTTATCTTTAAAAAAAAAAAAACAGCTTTTAGTTTCATTCATCTTTTCTGTTGTATCTGTGGTCTCTATTTTCATTTCTTTCTGCTCTGATCTTCAGTATTTCCTTCTGCTAACTTTTGGCTTAATTTTTTCTTCTTTTTCTATCTCTGAGGTGTAAAGTTGGTTGTTTATTTGATATCATTTCTTAATGTAAGCATTTATTGCTATAAACTACCTGCTTAGAACTGCTTTTGCTACGTCCAATAGGTTTTGGTAATTTGTGTTTCTATTTTCATTTGTTTCGAGATACTTATTAAATATATTGGTTGTTCAGGTATGTTATTTAATTTCCACATATTTGTGAGTTTCCAGTTTTCTTAATTATTTTCTAGTTTCATACTATTGTGGTCAGAAAACATACTTGGTACAATTTCAGTCTTCTTAAATTTGTTAAGACTTGTTTGTGACCTATCATATGATCTATTCTGGAGAATGTTCTGTGTGCCTGTAAGACGAGTGTGTATTTTGCTGGTGTTGGATGCAATGTTTTGTATATATTTGCTAAATTCAGTGGATCTAAAGTATAGTTTAATGTTTCCTTATTGATTTTCTGTTTGCTTTATCAATCCATTGTTGAAAATGGGGTCAGAAAACCAAAGTCTTCTGTTATGATTGTACTTTGGACTTGTTAGTATTTGCATAATATATTTAAGTGCTCTGGTGCTGGGTGTATAAATATTTATAATTGTTATATTATCTTTAAGACTTAACCCCTTTATCAATACATAATGATCTTTTTTGTTTCTGTTATAGTTTTTAACTTAAAACTGTATTTTGTCTGATACAAGTAAAGCTACCTTTGATCACTTTTGGTTTCCATCTGCTTGGAATATCTTTTTTCATCATGTCTCTTTGATCCTATCCATGTTCCTAAAGCTGAAGTGAGTCTCTTCTAGGCAGCATATAATTGGGTCTTCAAAAAAAAAAAAAATCTATTCAGCCTCTGTATGCCTTTTAATTTGATAATTTAATATATTTACATTTAATGTAAGTATCAATAGGTACAGACTTACTGATATCATTAATTGTTTTTTTTTTGGCTATTTTGTATTTCTTGTGTTTTTTTCTTTTTCTTTTGCTGTCTTCCTTTGTCAGTTGATTATTTTTTCATAATGGTATTTTTTTTATTCTCTTCTTTATCTTTTGTGTACCTACTGTAGGTTTTTGCTCTGCTTATCATGAGGCTTACATAAAACATAGTTATAGGGGCATCTGGGTGGCTCAGTTGGTTAAGCATCTGACTTTTAAAAAAAATATATTTTATTAGAGTGAGAGCTGGTGGGGTGAGGGGGGAGAGAGAGAATCTGAAACAGACTGTGCACTGAGTGCTTGATCCTCCAACCACAAGAACCAGAGCCAAAACCAAGAGTCAGACACTCAACTGACTGAGCCACCCAAGCACCCCAGTTAAGCATCTGACTCTTGATTTTGACTCAGGTCATGATCCTGGGGTCATGAGATCAAGCCTCCCATCAGTCTTGGCACTTGGTATGTAGTCTGCTTGGGATTCTCTCTCTCTCCTTCCCCTCTGCCCCTCCCCCCGCTTGTACATGCACTCTAAATAAATAAGTAAATAAATAAATAAATAATAAATAAATAAATAAATAAATATTTTTAAAAAATTCGTTAGAGACACAAAGAGAGGCAAAGACATAGGCAGAGGGAGAAACAGGCTCCTAACAGGGAGCCCAACATGGGACTCAATCTCCAGACCTGGAATCACACCCTGAACCAAAGGCAGATGCTCAACCACTGAGCCAGCCAGGCGTCCCTAAATAAATCTTTTTTTTTTTTTTAAGTTATAACATTCTATTTTAAGCTGACAATAACTTAACCCTGATTGCATACAAAAACTTTATCCTTTTACTCCCTCACCGCATTTTGTATTTTTAATGTCAGTTTATGTTTGTTATATTGTGTATCCATTAACAAATTATTTTGGCTATAGTTATTTTTAATACTTTCATCTTTACCTTTTTTTTTTTTACTGGAGTTTAGTGGTTAATACAGCTGTATATCACAGTATTAGAGTATTCTGAATTTGACTATATTTTTACCTTTACCAGGGTGTTGCATATTTTCATGTGTTTTCATGTTATAAGTATCCTTTCATTTCAGCTTGAAGAACTCCATACCATAGTTCTCATAAGGTTAATACTGTGGCAATGTACTCCCTCTTTTTTTATTTGGGAAAATCTTTATCTTCCCATTTCTGAAGGACAGCTTTCCCCAATGGCTCTTTGGTTTAGTACCTTATCCATTTTGAGCTAGTTTTCCTTATGTGTTAGGTAAGGATCTAGATTCATTTTTTGCATATAGATATAAACAGTTTTTCCAGTATGATTTGTTGAAAAGACTGTCCTTTCTCCACTGAATAGTGTTGGCATCATTGTTCAAATCATTTGCAAGGGTTTATTTCTGTGCTGTCTATTCTATTTCATTGGTTTATATCTTACACCCGATCCCACTATTTTGACTACAATACCTTGGTAGTAAGTTTGAAGTCAGGGTTTCAACATTGTTTTTTTCAA